GATGTTTTATTTTTATTTGCCCCTCTTTCATTGTTTTAACGCATTTGTACCTTGATATTGGCAACATCTACAGCTATATATTTTATATTGTGTATTGTATCAGTGGTACCTACGTCAAATAAAGTTTATACATTGAAAACTTGAATTCGTTCAATTCAAGTTTATTTATGTAGCACTTTTTACAATAACTATTGTATCAAAGCAGCTTTACAAAAAGGTGCACATTATTGCATTACAATGAAATACTTTAGAGATTAGTTACCATAACTTTTTTAGTTTCAAATAACTGTAATTAACTTGTTACTAATAGCTTTTAACAGTTAAAAGTTATTATATATAAGCATAGTTAACCTGCAGTTATATAGTATATGTAGGTGATGTCTATGTGTACATGTTCAATGAAGTCTAGTTGTGTATGTGGAGTTGTGTACTTCAGTATAACCACACTGTAAAAAATCCTGGTTGACTTAAATTTTTAAGCTGAATCAAATTAAGCTTAGGAGTCCATTGGACTTATATTATGTTAAACTGACTCAAAACTGCTTGCATAACTTATAAAATTAAGTTAGAACATGATTAACTAAAAACATATGCTGTCAGGACTAATTGTTCATATAATTTTACAGTGCAATTAATTAATGTTATTGATGGTGATATTATAAAATTATTTATGTAAGGTAATATAGTAGATAGGGCGACGCAGTGGCGCAGTAGGTAGTGCTGTCGCCTCACAGCAAGACGGTCGCTGGTTCGAACCTCGGCTTGGCCCAGTTGGCATTTCTGTGTGGAGTTTGCATGTTCTCCCTGCATTCGCGTTGGTTTCCTCTGGGTGCTCCAGTTTTCCCCACAAGACATATGGTACAGGTGTATGAGTGTGTGTATGAATGAGTGTGTGGATGTTTCCCAGAGATGGGTTGTAGCTGGAAGGGCATCCGCTGCGTAAAAATGTGCTGGATAAGTTGGCGGTTCATACCGCAGTGACGACCCCAGATTAATAAAGGGACTAAGCCGACAAGAAAATGAATGAATAAAAGGAATATAGTAGATAACACAAAAATAATTTTGCATTGCCCAAGGACATTTTTTATCTCAAAGTTGTCAGGTCAATTTGGAAGTTTTTTAAGACCTATTGGTGTCACAGTGGTTGGCACGATCGCCTCACAGCAAGAAGTTCACTGGTTCAAGGCTCGACTGGGTCAGTTGGCATTTCTATGTTCGCATGGTTCTCTGGTTTCCCCCACAGTCCAAAGACATGTGAATTAGGTAAGCTAATTTGTCTGTAGTGTGTGAATGAGTGTGTATGGATGTTTCCCTGTAATGGGTTGCATCTGCTGCGTAAAACATATGCTGGATAAATTGGCGGCTCATTCCACTGTGGCGACCCCTGATGAGTAAAGGAGCTAAGGCAAAAAGAAAATGAGTGAATGAACGAGTGACAAGACCTCAATTTTTATTGAGACCTTAATGCAGGCACCCCTTATGATGATTTAACAATGGTGTTATTAAAGTGAAAGTGTAGTAACCATGGGTTGGTGGCACATTGATTACCATTAATATAACCACAGCTTTATTACGCATTGTGGGTAAACTGTGGTTAGTGGGTAACACTTTATTTTGATGGTCCATTTGAGTATTAGTAAACTGTCTGCTTAATATCTCTTGACACGCATACTTCAGCAGACATTTATCAGACTGTAAGAAACTTTGTCAACTAACACTAACCCCAACCCTAACAGTCTACTTATAATCTAATGAGAATTAGTTGGCATGTAGATGCAACTTAACAGACCATCAAAATAAAGTGTAACGAAAACTGGACTAAGCCGAAGGAAAATGAATGAATATTTTTGTTGTTTTAGGAAAATCATGGTCAGTTTAACATAGAAGACAGAATACATAGACACAAATAGTGCTTGACTGCTATGATGCAACTATCAGCAAAAAACTAAAGAGGTTTTAACATGTTTACCAGCATTATTATTACAATAAATGTAATAATCATAAAATCTAGAGTGAGCTTCAGTGTTTAAGAAATGCACACATTTCTACCCCAGACAGCAATTTCATTAAAAGGATTTACTCATAATCTCTTTGACTTCCCTTGAATAGTTTCCTAACTCATTGTTTGTTTACAGTAGCAAGTTGCACCATGTTTACTTACCTCTAACAGTACTCTATGAGCATCATGTCATATAATAAGCGCACTAAACTAAACAGTATTTGTTATTGGAAACCATGCTGCACATGACTCAAGGAAGACAAAGTTTGCAAAGAAGTGCCTGGTGGGCAAATATGTACTTAAGATTTTGTTTAACACCATCCTCATTCAATTTCCAGACAGATGCAGAGAGTTTATTTTTTATTTTTTCAACATGACATTTAACATCAAATACCTCTCCGGTGGAAATCATGTTGACATGTCTGTCTTTTATTATGCTTTAAGTTAAATGATGTGCTGATTAAAGAGTCAAGATTAATGAGCATTTTCTCCTTAAAACTTCACTACACCAAAGAGAGCTTCAAAAACCAGTTTGAAATCTCTCCTGTTTCCTACTGTTACAGACATGTACTTGACACTTCCGTTAACTACGTATTACCATTATCTATGATGTTCAGTCTGTTTCCTCCTAAGGATGTTTGTTCTTAGAAGGCGGTTGTCTGAGATGGTGAACAGAAACATTATGTAACATTAGCAACACAGTAAATGTTTAATGTAGTCAAGCCAAGGCTAAAGATGAGTCAGGCCACAGGGTGCTTGAGGTGCTAGAAACACCTCAAACGAAAGAAAGAGTGGACCTTTAATTTGCAATAGGATATTGGCAAAACAGACTTGGCAAATGCTCATTGCATATATGTGTTTGTGCAACACATTTGCAACATTTTTTTGCAGTGTTGAGAAATGAACCTAACAAAGTCTTGTAAGTTGATTTCTTGGACAAAATGAGAAGTTGCTTGTCAGAAACCGAGGCATCCAGATACCATTAGAGAATCTACTCATCACCACTAAAAATGCCAGAGTTTTTGTTCAAGATTTTCTTCTCAATCTTTATAATAAGCAAAGTGTGGACATTTAATAGGAATGATTGTGCAATGCAGAGAGAATTTACTTATTATAATGAACTTCTTTGTGAGATGTGCAATGAACTAAGATGAATGACAGCTTTCGGTCTTTAAAAAGAGTGCAGAGTCACACTCTTTCAAGGTTACAAATAAAATTTAGAACAAATTCATTTATGGATTTGCTTTTGTAGTACTTTGACTTTACACAGAATTAAACTGCAGGTGACTAGACGTCTAATGTGTTATTACAAGTAAGTTGTATTATTTAAAAAAGCACTCAGTTAAGAGGTCATACAGCTTACTAAAAAATACTGTAATTTCAATCTTAAAATCTACTCATAAAATTCGTTAAAACTTTAAAAGAGTTCTGTATGTTTTAGTCAATTAATTCCTTAACAAACAAATAATATTTTGCAGATTTTACAGTCACTGATTAAAAGTGTTACCTAAAATTCCATTCAAATATTTACCAAGGGTGTTATTGTAATAAATATTCATTATCCTGCCACACCTATGCTATTAAAAGTATGTTAACAAAATTAATTAATATTAGCCCCAATCAGCAAATGTATAAATTACTAGAACGACTTTAAAGCTATTTTTCAAAAGGGCATGTTCAGACATGATATCTTTTCGGAATATTATGGGTAATTTTCCGGAAAAGTCTGTATGTGTGAAAAGGGGTATTGTCTAATATTAATAAGTAAAGCATTTTCTATCTTTATTTTATTTTATTGACTTCATAAACAAACATGATCTTACACAAATCCAATCTTACACAAAAAGGACAATGATAGTAACAATGATAATAACTTAACAGACCAGGTTAAATAATATTATAAACACACATAAAACTGTAAAACAAAAGAGAGAAAAAAGTTTAAAAAAAATTAAACGGATACATAAATAAAACAAATACAGCAAGAGGAAATAAGGACCTATGTATCTGTGATATTTCCAAAATAATTATCATAATAATCCAAGAATCTATCACTTTTCTTGTTTTTAATCATAATCAGTCGAAGAGATTTAATAAAAACATCAATTTCAAAAAAAAAAAAAAAAAAAGTGAAAAGAAGGCTGCAAATTCAAGAATTTTTGTTTGTGAATAAATTATTTCCATACAAAATAAAAAAGTTCAAAATGTAGTTCTCTGATACATTAGTTTTACCTTTATAGTAACAAATAATATCTTAGTTGAAATGGGCTGGAAAAAGCAATGTAATTACCTATATTGAGATATAAGCTATTTCAAAACCTTTTTGTGTTTTCACACTGAAAAAAAAAATTATGTGAATCAGGGTTTCTTCTTCAGTTTTACAAAATGAGCATGAACTATCAACCTCCATACTTTGCAAAGTACTATTTACTGGATATATTTTATCTAAAATTTTAAATTAAACCTCTTTTGTTTTATTGGGAATGCAGTACTTATGAGATTATAGCCAGGTTTTTTTCCAGTCTATTAGGTCAATAAAGGATGCCCAGTAAAGTTTGCCCTTAGGAACATTATAGGCTACTTTTTATTTAGGAAAATTTGTCAAATATATTTATTAAAACATTTTTTGTCAAATAGACTAATTCCATTTAAGATCAGCTCTGGCTCTTAAATAACATTTTCATAAAAAATTAAATGAGACTTTATACGTTGAATTAGGCCTAAATTGCTTTTTGCACAGCATTAAATTCAAGTAAAGCATGTTGCCCTGCAACGTCAACAAACGATGACGTAGCTTTTGTACGCATGCGTAAGGATGCGGAAGCCGTGGGCAGGTTCTTTGCTCGAGTGAGAACATATGGGCAGGTAAATAAATCAGCGAATTTGTATTTATATGTATTTTATCACCACATTCGCATTATAGGAGACACATTTTAAAAGTCTCATTGTGGAGCTGGTTAATACATTTATTTTGGAATGCGTTCGAACAGTCTCCGAGCTGTACAGAATGTGGCGAGACACAACACTGAACTGTTTTGTTTTCCAATGCATCTTTTGTTTACATATTCTTTAACGCCAGTGTTTCTTTCACATTTTCAACTTTTGTATCATTTATAAAGTAGTCATAGTAATAATAATAATAATAATAATAATAATAATAATAATGTGCAGTCATTCAATTTGTAGACTGATGTTTAATTATAGTTGTAAAATAGTGTCAGTGAACATTGTGTCTTATGTGAAGATAATGTTCATTCCGTTCTGAATTGTCTGTAATCTGTAAACTACAATAGTCGTCACTGATTCCATGATTTCAGCTCTGCGTGTGTTGGTGGCTGTGTTTGTGAGTCATATTGTAAACAAAAGTTTTAAAATGTGATATTTAGGATTTAAGATTATCTGGTTATAAAATGTTTGACCTTACATTTACAATAATAAACATAAAAACATGCAAAAGACCTACATTGTAACTGAGGTTCCCATGGACACTTTACAGTTGTATTAGTGATTTCAAGTTATTCTCTTCAGAGGCTGTTGAATTTCGTGCATACCAATGTTAAATGTGTATTTAAACCAATGAATTCTTAACCAAGGTGGTTCTTGAGTGTGAGTGATTAATCATTTCAAAAGTGACTAATTATTTCATGAACACATTTGTACTTTTACATTTGCTGATTTGCTGTTGTGAATATATGATTGGCTGATGTTTTCTCACTGATCCTGTTTATCCTCCTCTGACCAGCCTCAGCACATGTCCTTCACAATGGCACGATACTCCTCTTCCTCGTCGTCTGCTTCCTCTTCTTCATGCGGTTGCTGCCGTCCCTGTTCACGGATCTGCTCGAGATCTTCAGCCTACACTTTGGCTTTGGGGCTGGGTTTTGTGACATTAGGAACGAGTCGCATCCTATTACTAAAGTTCTCGGGCAATGAAGGTAATGTAAAATATCATACCATCCTTGAGGAACTAGATATACTGTTTGTATAATTGCTTACCTAAACTATGAAGAGACAAAGTGCATTTTAAATATTTAAATTTAAATAAAAAATTTATTTAAATGTAAATATTTAAATAAATTCTACTTTTGTTCTTGCCAACAGAAAACAAATATGATTATCTTCCTGCATCTGTGAATTTAATGGCAGAGGCCATCAAACTAGTATTTTGTTTGGTGATGTCAGTACGGGTGATTATTCGAGGTAAGTCAGATAACAGAATACTATTCTCATGCCATGCTATGTACATATATATATATATATATATATATATATATATATATATATATATATATATATATATATATATATATCATATATATTCAAACTTGCTTTTTTTTCTCCTTTAGAGGGTCGCTCATTTAAAGATTTAGGATGTTCCTCTGGCGCCTCTTTTCTCAGTTACTTGAAGTGGTCTGTTCCTGCATTCCTGTACTTCCTTGACAACCTCATAATCTTCTATGTGATTGCATATCTGCAACCTGTAAGAAGGATTATTACGTAGGCTTAGCCATGATATATAAACATAACATACTCTTTTTCAGTTACTACTTTAGTGAAATATGACTAGATTTAATTGACTTTTCTATTTTAATATGTTTTCTTACAAACCATGTGGTGGCAAAATACAAGAATATAATCTTATATAATATTCATATTTGTTCTCATGTTTTTATAGGCCATGGCAGTGTTGTTCTCCAATATTGTTATTTTTACAACAGCCTTTCTCTTCCGAGTGGTTCTGAAGTAAGTGCTTACATTTTTTTGTTATTTAAAACATGGGTTCTCAAACTTTTTGGGGCCAAGGACACCTTACAGACATTGCCCCCTTTTAATGCTAAGTGATAAGACAATTAAAACTAGGGCTGTGCGATTTGGGGAAATATCTAAATTACAATTTCTTTTCGACAGATATTGCGATTTCTATTTACGATTTAATTTTGTAGTCGAGCTTCAACTCAATAATCTGTTTCGTTGCTTCTTACTGCTAAAATGTTGTGAGTGTTAGTTAAAAAGGAGCTGAAAAGATATTGACTTACTTGCGTTAAATGTTTATTCAAATTTGTTTTTAAATATTCAGAAATGAAACAGTCCTTTTCTCTACAGCAAACCGAAAGCACAAATAAAATGACCTCACCTTTCTGTAAACATGAACTCAAATTAGGGAGATAGTGTAGCGTATTATCAAAACAACAAAAAAAATAATTATAAAACAAACTCTGAAATTGTACTTTGCTGTTGCTTGCTACTAGATTGAGTGTCACTGACAATATGTTCAGTTGACTTTTTAGCAAGACACTCCTTAAATAGCTGCTATTGTTGCGTGTTTAGGTTGTATTTCCTTGTGCAGTGGCAACAATTCGTACAAATGACCTGTTTTTGTTTGATGTCTGTGACTTTAAAACCAAAATTTTTCCATATTCCCTATGTCCTGTTTGTCTTTCATATTAATTCATCTATTAATGCTTCTAAAGCAGCAAATGCCATAATCCCACTTGTGTTTGTTTTATTGTAGGTGTTCCACCTAGTTCAGTTGCACAATTCTGATTGGGCAGAATGAAAGTGTGCTCACTAAAAGACTGTCGCACTAAAAGACTGTCGCACACAGATGGTCACGCATTTGCTCTGGGCGGGGGTAGTTAAATAATACATATATATTTCATATCGCAGTGATTAGCTAATTGCAACAATTTATACTGCACAGCCCTAATTAAAACATAGTTACAGTTTTTTTGGATTGCATTTTTATAGTTTTCATTTTCTGCATTTTTAAATAGGTACCATTTATCAATCAAAATGTGTGCCTAATGGATTAAAAAAAACTTGCAAGAGTTTATTATATGTTTAACAGAATTTTTTTTTATTACTCTGTAAAACTGATTTCAATTGATAATTTTCTTAAATTTTCTAAATAATAATTGCTTCTCTTTTTTGCATTACATTTTAATGGAATTGAAATTCAACTGTCAAAATATATCAATTTAACAGTTTTCAGTACACATTTATTACATTTTTATTTGATTGTAACTTATATTGACAAACTACAATTAATATGCATATATCATTATGTTTAAGTGTGAACTCTAAAAGTGAGGTCACAGTTAAGGAAAGCTTTAGTAATCAAAAGCTTCACTAATCAGTGCAATTCAATTCAAGTTTAATTGTATATCGCTTTTCACAATAATTACTGTTTCAAAGCAGCTTTACAAAAGATGCACATTATTGCGTTACAATCAAAATCAGAAAAGTTAAGGTTATTCGTTACTAATAACTTAAATACAATTAATATTGTATTACACACAAGTCTTAATATTTTATTACATTTTAATATAATTGCTTAATGAAATGTTTATTTTATTAATTTATTTAGAATTCTTTAATACCTCTGTCTTTTTTTATGGATTTACATTTTAACAGAAATGTATTACTAACAATGGTAATCAAATAAAGCATAAATCTTTTACATTGCAATCTAATAGCAATTAATTAATTTAAATATTTTTTTTAAATTCTACGTTTTTAAAACGTAGAAGAAATATAGTGTAATTGCTTTTAAAATAAATGTTTGAGAACCCCTGATCTAAAATATTTGTTGGCTACCATTCAAACCACAGGTGTCAAAGCCAGTTTCTGGAGGACTGGAGCTCTGCACAATTTAGTTCTAACCCTAATTAAACACACCTGATCAAACTAAATGAGTGCTTTAGGCTTGTTTAATATCTACAGATAGGAGTGTTGAAGCAGAGCTGGAACTAAATTCTGCAGTGCTCTGGCCCTCGAGGAATTGACTTTGACACTCCTGATATAAACTATAGGACTCAAACTCAATTCCTGGAGGGCCACAGCTCTGCACAGTTTTGCCCCAACCCTAATCAAACACAGCTGATCCAACTAATCAAGGTGTTCAAGACTATTAAGCATTCCTCCAGAATTGAGTTTGAGACCATTGATTTAAACAATCAGTTCCTGACCATTCTTTGTCCTGCAGGAGGCGCTTGTCTTGGGTGCAGTGGGCATCTTTGATCATATTGTTTCTGTCCATTGTGTCTTTGACCACTGGCAATGGTGACCAGCATGCCATGGCCGTTCACGGCCTCCACCCAGCTCACATCTCCACCCCCTCCAACAGCTGCTTAAAATACACACATCTCCATCAAGTGCATCAGAGCCACAATGAAAGCTACTGGAGCCGGGAGTTGTGGGACAGTCAGCTCATCCACAAGCTAAACAGCTTTGGCCTGGGTTATGTTCTCCTGCTCCTTCAGTGCTTCATCTCCGCTCTGGCGAACATCTACAATGAGAAGATCCTCAAGGAAGGGGAGCAGCTGGTGGAGAGCATCTTCATCCAGAACAGCAAGCTGTACCTTTTCGGTTTAGTCTTCAACAGCCTTACGCTGCTCCTGCATGCCGACTACCGCAATTTAACACTGCATTGTGGGATCCTCTATGGACACAATGTCTTCTCTGTCGCACTGGGTTTCGTCACAGCCGCTCTGGGCCTGTCAGTGGCTTTTATTTTGAAGTTTCGGGATAATATGTTCCATGTGTTGACAGGCCAGATCACCACTGTCGTGGTCACCGCACTCTCTTTCTTCCTATTTGACTTCCAGCCATCGATGGATTTCTTCATGCAGGCGCCTGTGGTACTTCTGTCCATCTTTATTTACCATAGCAGTAAAATGAAGGATCCGGAATACGCTCTTCAGCAGGAGAGGCTCAGAGTCATTAATGGCGAGGTGTTCGAGAGGTCGAGAGGGGTAAGAGTCAAATATAGACTTGGTTTTATAACATTTAAGTCATTCATTTCTAGCTTATTTTTTGAAGAGCGCACAGTTTAAACAAAGGGGGTCTTTGTGCAGAAGGACTGGCAAACTGTAATCTGATTAAGCTAGCAGAAACCTGAATTCCGCATAATGAAAACACAATTTGGAAGAGCCCTACCTTAGATTATTGGATTAATTTAAAGATCAAACCATGCTGAACATCAGGGAATTTCATTAGCGGCATGTTGACACTTGCTCTTGTGAGACGCTACAGAATTAAATGTTTTTTTTTTTTACTTTAAATTCTCAATCAAAGCACGCTACATAACAAGATGTTCTTACTTTTGTCTTGATTCTAGCCTAAATATTAAAAAATTCTTCAAAGTAAAAAGTGTCCTGTTTTAAGAAAAAAAAGTCGAAATTAAGTGAGTTTTTCTTTGAAGCAAGCAGAATTAGTGTCAATCAGACCCCACTGACAGAATATTTTGCTTGTTTTGAGGAAAAACAAACTTTTTTTTTCTTACTTGTTGATTTTTTGATATTTAGAATAGGAACAAGACAAAATATCTTAGAAAACAATGTTTTTTGTTTTAAGTTGACGTGGCACCTAAAAAATGAACTTAAAGCCACCAGTCTACCCAGCTTGTTTATTGAGGGAAAAAAGCAAGGGTTTATAACAGTACAGAATTGAATCGAATGACACAGTCTGTTATCTGTACAACCATTAAAGTGATAGTTCACACAAAAATTATAATTCTCCACTCACTCATACTTCAATTGTTCCAGACCAGGGGTGCCCAAACTCGGTCCTGTAAGGCTAGTGTCCTGCTAAGTTTAGTTCCAACCCAAATTTAACCATCCTGGACAAGCTAATCAAGCTATTACAAGGCTTTCTAAAAACATCCATGCAGGTGTGAGGCAAGTTGGAGCTAAAATCTGCAGGGTCCTCCAGGACAGAGTTTGGACACCCCTGTTCCAGAGCAAGTTTCTTCTGTTAAACACAAAAGAGATTTTCAAGACTGTTCGAAATGATAATAGTTTTTTCCTACTGTGGTAGTTATTCGCTAACAGAAAAAACTCAAAAAAAGTCTCCAAAAATGTTGTATGTTCTCACTGCTGCCTGAAACACATTGACGCAAGGATCAAGTCCATTATGTAGTGGACTTGCATGCTCACGTGGTTGATGCTAGAAACCATAATTATTTAGATTAATTATTAAATTATACATTACATTGTGTTATTAAGGTCTACACCTACTCCAACCCTAAATTCAACAGGAGCTAATGGGCGTTACCAGGGGTGTCACTAGACCACATTTACTGGTAATGGGGCATGTGCCCAGGTAAAAATCGCCAGTGCCCCAGTAAATGCTTTGTTACAGTTTATATTCAAGTGTTATACATATAGCCCCTGCTGGGTCAGTTGGCATTTCTGTGTGGAGTTTGCATGCTCTCCCCGTGTTGGCATGGGTTTTCTCAGGGTGCTCCGGTTTCCCCGACATACGCTATATATGAGTTGGGTAAGCTAAATTGTCTGCAGTGTATGTGTGTGAATTAGATGGATGTTTCCCAGTGATTGGTTGCAGCTGGAAGGGCATCCGCTGTGTAAAACATATGCTGGACAAGTTGGCGGTTCATTCCGCTGTGGCTACCCCAGATTAATTAAGGAACTAAGCCTAAAAATAAAATGAATTAATTAATTACATATGAGGTAAAGACAAAAACTGAAAAGTAAAGAATCAAGACGTTATTTTCTATGTAGGTTACAACCGAATCAATGCTTGAAAGCTCTGTAGTTGAGGGAGGCCCGTGCCCTAGTAGAGATTTATGTCTAGCAACAGCCCTGGGTTATACAGTACAATGTCCACTACATATTGGACTTGATCCAGTACATCATTGTGCTACAGACTGCAGCGAGGGCATCTCGCAAACATTTGGATCACTAGAGGGTGATTAAATAATGAGTACATTTTTAGTTTTGGGGTGAACTACGCCTTTATCTTCTGTTGTTGTGCAGCATAGCATGACAGCTTTTAATGTATGAAGTATTTAATGATTACATCTTGTCTTTTTATTTTAGGACGGGGAAGAGTTGGAGAGGTTAACCAAGGCTAACACAGAGAGTGAATCAGAAGAAGAGTCTTTCTGAGTGGGATTTGAACTCCTTGTAATTAACTATGATGTAAATATTCTGCGATGAGCCTGTAAATGTATTTTGTACAATCACATGTATGTATTATAAGAATGATACTTGTTCCAGTCACACAGAATGTCTATGTGAGATGTTTAATATATTGTTCTTTCTCTTGTTTCTTCAACTATTATGAGTATTTTTATGGTGTTTTATTGTCTAGGGTAAGGGAGTTGTAATGTTACATACAATTTACAGGCTTTGCGAAAATATTTTTGCTTTCAAACAGTAGTTAAATGAAGGATATAAACTAACAGTGCTGGTGTTAAGGTAAGACTGTTCTATACTTCTCTAATGTGAACATGATCATAATTTCAAAGCATCACTTGTAATGTGCCATATTGCAGATGTCATTCTGTGGTATACATGTTGACAATATTTGTTAAAATATTATTTCAAATATTCCTAAAAATATTTGTTTACATCACAGGTGTCAAACTCAGTTCCTGGAGGGCCGCAGCTCTGCAGTTTAGATCTTACCCTAATTAAACACATTTGATCAATCTAATTGAGTCCTTCGGGATTATTTGAAACGCACAGGTAAGCATATTGGAGCAGGGTTGGAACTAAACTGGGCTGTGGCCCTGCAGGAACTGAGTTTGACACCCCTTGTTGATATGATCTTTCAAAAACACTTGGATTTCTGAAATAATAAAAAAGATCATCAATTATATGTGCTTATAAATATTTGTGCTGCTTTTATTTCAAATCTTTTTCGGCAACAATAAACAGTCGCGTCATAAAACTGATGCTTTTGCAGCAGATGCAATCATATCACTGACCAGCAGAGGGAGATAAAATAAAGAAAATCGCAAACTACATAGTGCTTAAAGGCACAGCTCACTCACATAGTTCTAAACTTTTATGAACAAATCAAGATATTCTGAAGACTGTTGCTTCCCCCCAACAGACACTGACATCAATAGTAGAAACAAAAAAATACTTTGAAACACAATGATTTTCTCCCAACATTCTTCTTCCTTTGTCTTCAACAGAAGGAAGAAACTTGAGTGGACAATGAGTAAATAAATGCATAATGGTTATTTCTGGGTGGACCATCCCTTTAAGTAGAAATGTTCAGGCTGTATCAAAACAGTGCCTTTAAAAAAACATTGTATATTCAGCTAAAAATAAAAGCTGCACGATGATGTAATGTTTGAAACATAAAGCTTGATGGCATTATGATTTTTTTTATTGAATTAAAGCACAATTCATATGTTTATAAATAAGACATGTAGCGACAGTGCTCTTAAAAAATAGAGTAATAATAATATCAAAAAGCAGGCTGTGACCTTTAAAAACGATCATATAGAGCAGACATCCAATAAATATAATACAAATATTTATTTCCCATCCTTTTTTTTATCTACAAAAGATTATGTCCATAGATGTATAACAGGGAATACGCAGCTTTAAAATGAACAGCTGTATGATAAAGTGTATAACCAGGTAAAAGACAAGTTTTCAGTTATTGCTGTCTATTTAAAAGCATCAATTCTAATATCCATAACCCTGATGATAACCTTCCTGGTAACCCTCATGATGATGATAACCATATCCACCGTACTCATCCTCAGGGCAGCGCATACCTAGAGACTGCTGGATGGCCATTTCCTGTCTGCGGAGCTGCATGGAGTCGATCAGGTCATAGATGATGGCCATGGACCACATGGGTGACGGGTACCAGGATTTGACATTTCCGTCTTTTCCAACCAGCAGCATGGAAAAGTACTCGGGGCTGATCTGGAAGTAGTTTCTGATGTCTCTTACTAGAGTGGCAGAGATACCCTCACGCTCCACCGTTGCACTACCTGAAGTGGGTGTTGAAAAAAGGTGCGTAAGCATAAACAACAAATGCTGGATGTACATTAAACTGAGCTCTTTGTGCACCACAAATGACTTATTGGGGATTTAATTAATGAAATGCTGAACTCATATAATTATTATATTAGTTATACGAGTTATTTGGTTCAAAATGCAGTCATATTGAGGGTTTTTACTATTTAAAATGACATTTTAAAACAATTTAATGAGTGTTTCATTTCCATGATTCCAAAGCGGAATTTTTAGCTGAAATCTTTAAAATCTGAGGAACTAATTATAAGTAGGGAAGGGCAGCCTATATGTCATTACGTTACTATTGAGGGTCAACATGTGGAGATTGTAAACAGTTTTAAGTATCTGGGAATTATTTTAGAAAGTGGCTTAAATTTTGGTGAACACGCAGACTGTATCTATAAGAAAGCAACACAAAGACTCTTTTTAAACAATGAAATAGTTTTAATGTTATTAAGGGTATTCTGAGAAAGGTTTAATCTGGTTGAAAGTATTATCTCCTATAATATTTCTTGCTGGTGTGAAAATCTTGGAGCTAGAGGCAAGTATAAACATGCAAAGATGGTTAATATGGCTAGTAAGATCATAATGGACCCCCAGAAGTAGCTTGTGGAACTGTATACAAACCAGACCAGATGGAAAGCCTCACAGATAGTTCAGGACTCAACTCATCCTCTTTATTATGAGTTTGAAAATCTTCCTTCTGTTAGATGATACAGAGTACCCACAGCAAATTCAAATATTTTTAAGAAATCTTTGATACCGTCTGCTATTACCTTACTGAATAAATGACGGTGAAGTTTTGGTTTGTGCTCTGTGTTTGTGTTTTTGTATTTGTGATGTTTGGGAGGCCAAAAATGAACTTCCACACATGTGGACAATAAAGTTTAAATTATTCACAGTATTTCCTATAATATTTTTCTTCCAGAGAATGTCTTATTTGTTTTATTTCAGCTAGAATAAAGGAGTTTTTAAGTTTCTTTAAAACCACTTTAGGGTCAGTATTATTAGTCGCCTTAAGCAATATTTTTTTTTTGATTTTCTACAGAACAAACCATCGTTATACAATGATTTCCTCAATTACCCCAACTTGCCTAATTAACCTAGTTAAGCCTTTAGATGTCACTTTGAGGTGAATACTAGTATCTTGATGTACTGTCATCATGGCAAAGATAAAAGAAATCAGTTAATAGAAATTAGTTATTGAAACTATTATGTTTAGAAATGTGTTGAATTTCTCACACAATTCTGACGTCAACTGTATATATAGAAATGCATACATTTGCTTATGTTACTGGAAACTTCATAACTTCTATTTTAAATATTATATCAATTAGAAGGTCATGATTTGCACTCATTAAATAATTGTTTTGTAAAGTTTTTATTTTACATTCTTCAGGCTGCTTTTGGTTTTTGTATCACCTGAAGAGTGTAAAATCAAAACTATACAAAGCAATTATATAATAAGTGTGAATCATGACCTTATGAATAATATTAATGACAAGATTAACACACAATTTTCTTTAAACCGCCAACGCGCAGGACACTTCATTACTCAAATATTATATCAATAAAATATACACAAAGTAGAGATATTGATTATAAATATTGTAAAGCGGTTTGTGGTTACTGTGATTTTGCAACTTTTTGAAGTTTAAAAATAAATATTGACCTTATTCGCAGCCACTGAAAATGTATTGGCTCCAGACTTCTGGTTCTCATTTGATTCCACTGAATTTTAGCTGCAAAAACAGCTTATGTTGAAAAATAGTATTCATTAATTCATTCGTTTTCTTTTCGGCTTAGTGCCTTTATTAATCAGGGGTCGCCACATCGGAATGAACTGCCAACTTATCCAGCATATGTTTTACGCATCGCATGGCCATCCAACCGCAACCCATCACAGAATAACAACACCCATACACGCTCATACACTACGACCAATTCAGTTCATTCAATTCACCTATACCGTATGTCTTCGGACTTGTGGGTGAAACCGGAGCACCTGGAGGAAAGCCATGTGAACACTGGGAGAACATGCAAACTTCACAAAGAAATGTCCACTGACCCAGCCGGGACTTGAACCAGTGGCCTTCTCGCTGTGAGGCGATCATGCTAACCACTGCGCTATTGTGTCGACGAAACAATTATATTTTTATAATAAATTATTTTAATTACTATTATAATTTTAAATTAAATCATTTGTAAGTATTGGCATTAAAACACTTGTTTGTAGAGCAGGTAGTTTGACAGTCTTCTGCTGTTTGTTATTGCGAGTCAATTCACAAAAGCCTAAAACAACAGCAGAAGAGAGATTTCTTCCACATTGCAGAATAAGATGAACAACCCAAACAACATAAAATAAAATCTCCCCAAAGATCTGTTAGTCTACCATTTCCCATCCATATATCCATCTTTTTTATAACCTCAGTAACAGTGTACTATATCTGTTGACATTTTTTTGGACTGGTTTGCATTAACAGAGAAATCTCTGACAGAACATTTTCAAAGAAAACCAGACGTATTTTTATAAAACCAACATGTTTGATCAGACGTTGACTTTGCTTTCATCTTACATATGCGGCCTGCTTGTGAAGACTTCAGCGTCAGCACTCTAAATCCAGCGAACAGAATCACTTTTTGATCTGAATGTATCAGACAGACCGCTGATGCAGCCTTTCAAAACACAAAGGAGCTTCGGTGCCAATGAGCGCAAAGCTGGGTGTAATTTCAACAATGATGGAAAATATGTAAACACCTGAGCTCTCTTTCATTTCTGTCCTGCGAAACACTCTTCCTGTGGGAAAGGAATGGTCATTTGTGAGGCCGTCTAGAGCTGGAGAGGTTGACTCATGCAGGGTGAGGCCAGTGGCTGCTTTTGACTGACATCTACCAAAAAAGCAGCCAATGTCAACACAGCACCACTGCACTCATTTAAAGCACATATTAACCCTTAAAGGGGCTGTATGTGTGAATTTCCAGGTATTTGAGAAGTCATGAACTGACTTTTGCTTTAGACGGTTCTCTGAGGTCCACTTATAATGTTATCAAGATTTTACATCGACAAGCATCATGATTTAGAAGTAAGAGTTGGCTTTCTGTCCTGTTTTGACCCCCCAAATGTGAGCACAAACTCCCTCTGGAATGATTGGCCAACATTTTTGCATACTTTTTAAGTTTGAAAGGACAGCTTTGTGTCAACTAATATAAACTTCTGAAAATAAGTTTGATAGCCTATGTTGGGTAAAGTTTAAAAAGCATAAACATTCCGCACATATTTCACTTTTTTTTGTAGTAAAAAAGTAAAAAAAAAGCATTCAGTACATATCAAATGACCTGTAAAATCAGACAAAGTAATAGTGAATACAAAATGAAAACATCTATACACACTTGTGTTGTGTGAAATCACTTTTGAACCAAATAGTCAGGACAACATTGTTATTTATTATCAATCTTTCAGAAAAGTCAGTCGAAATATGTTTGCTTGTAATTGAATCCACAACAAAATTAAGTGAAACATTGACCACGTTCTTATAGGGTATATGCCAAACTAGTGTTGTTCCCATTCTGATAAACTTCTGGTGACCTGTTATTGTGTTTTTTTTTTCCATTTTATACGATTCCTTTTACAGCATTGATGTTGTAATTTAATTAAAACACATTCAGTTAAATAGACTTGGGCATTCATTTAGTTGCTCAAGCGTAAAACAAGACAAAAAGCCGTTTACTCGCACATGCATGTCAGAATTAGCAGGCTAGTGCAGAAGCTACATTGAATATACTGGGCTAAAATAAATGCTTATAAATTCATGGCGGGGAAAAATGTCATTTATTGCAGTGATTGTTGTACAATCTGAGACTCACTTTATATCGGATATCACTCAGCCAGTGGAGATCACATATTTTTAAAGAAGACAGACCTTAAATGCGCCGGTTTTGCAATGGCATATAGTTCAACGGAAGCGCTTAACCCAGGTTACTGACAAATTAAATGTCCTATTAGCATATCTCACCATATACCTACTTGACATGATCTGGGGCTTTATTAAAATATAGTTTGTCCACAATAATGTTGGGATCAAAGGAAAGGCAATGCAAAGACGTTTTTCTTACACTACAGTTTGTCTCTTGTCTTTAGTGCCTCCTAAAGGTCCCGTGAAGTGCATTAAAATGTGGGTTTTTATTTGATGTTGGACATAATCTCTACCAAAACAAGAAGAGAGGGTGAGACATAGTGTAGCTCCTCTCCTTTTTTAAAAACAACCAATAGCGTTTTGTTTTATAACCGCTCTGCCAGTGAGAGTGGTTGAGCTCAAGTGCATCAAACAAAAAGCAAATAAGAGACGTCTTGAATGGGGTGGGGCATGTTAGATACTACAGAGCACATGATTGGTCAAGATTTGAAGAGAAACTGACGTATGAGGTAAAGTGAATAAAACCAACCAACAACCAATTCGTAACTTTTTGATTTAGTGGCTAATTCGTATGAATTTGTATAATCTTACATGTTTATATCTTCTAAACACAAACTTTGTCTCTGTTTTGGAGCACACTAGGTTATAGATATTTCAAAAACTAACAATACTGATACTTATTTCATGGGACTTTTAAACTTTGGTTTCTGCACTGACTTGGGGCCTGTTCCATGTAGCAAAATTAGCTGGCTAGCCAGTTAACTTTCAGTTTAGATTGTTCCATTTCTGTTTTAGTTACCACGACGATAGTCAGTTTTAACTCTTAATGCTCTTTATTGTCATGGTAACTTACTCTACATGGCTAACCTGCACCAAAGCAGGTTATGTTCTGGTTTAAGAACACAAACTGAGTTTTAACCAATCAACTATGAGCAAAGTGCCACGTCTCCTATTCCTCTTGTTTGTTTTTAGACTAACAATAAAATTAGTATGTTTTTATAATAGTACAATGACCTCTTTTTTTGTCAAAAAGTATTTTTTATGAGTGTTTTGCTGCCAAATTAATTCCATACTTCTATACTTATTTTACCTCTAAAGAAAGACTTTGATATGAGTATATCAGGACCTTGAATCGTACATGTCCATGAATGTAGGGATGAACAAGTCTGAACCTTCAAAATTTATATACTACAGCACAAAATCTACACTAAATACTGTATGTTTCCCAAAACCACAGTATGTAAGCGCCTGAGTCAGCTGATATTTTAAACTGCTTTTTGAACCAAAAGAGTTTACATACCTGTTAAAATGGCTTCTCGCACCTCAAAGTCTAGACCACATTTTAAGAGTTTACTGGTAAGTCTCACTTACCCAGAAGCCTAGCATTATTTGCAAGTTTTCAGTGACAGCTGTCTTACCGTTGATGGGGTAAAGCTCTAACACTCCTCCCATGTCTAACAGGTCTGTACCGACCAGCTTCAGCACGGACACATGACGAAGACCTGCAAATCAACAAGAATTTTTAGGTTACGATTTTTTTTTCAAACATTCCCTTGTTGGTTTTCCCTACATTGTTTAGTGTTAGATCAGTCTAAAATGAACATTCTGTCATCATTCTCACATCATGTCATGACAAATTACCTTTGAAGCACAAAGTTTTCTGTTTCTATTACTTTTAAAAATTACACAAACCCCTTGACACTTCAAAATATTCATAAAGTGATCCAAAAGTGAATCCAGATCTGAATTCAGTCCAAGTCTACTGAAGACATTGAATAAATAAACCCATAATTTAGGCTTTTATGCACACATAATCATTAATCAGCATACAATGTTACGGCAATTAGGTTTGATCACAGGAAATCAAGCATGTCTTGAACATTCATTCTTGTGTGTTGCATGGCACACTTGAGCTTTAGCAGGAAGCAGTGATGTTTGTTCTTGTGTATAAAACTTAAAACTAAAAATAAAGTTATGGCTGAGCTTCTGTTTTATTCACTGATAAGTATTTATATGTGAATATAAGCCCAAATCAAATCTGTACGTACGTACTAGTGGGCAAAGGCCATTGGAATCATTTTGGCTCTAGACTTCCGGGTTCATTTACTTCTACTGATGTTTAAATGTTAAAAATGGCTTGTTATGCTGTTTCATGACGCAAACTGATATTTTCTTAATATATTAATCTACTTTTTATGTATTGTCATGAACACACTTGTTTATAGAGCAAGTAATTTGATTGTTTTCTGATGTTAACTATTTCTAGTTATTTCTCTCTCAGGCAACAGAATCGTAAGTAAAACAATCGCATTGTAGAATAAGGTCAATGGAGCAGTCTTGTCTCTACAGAAGACTTTAATTTATATTTATAGAGATATTATGAATATTCTAAAGTGGGAACAAAAAAAAAACAAACACTTTTAACGGAGCTCAGACATCTCTCAGATTTCATTAGCAATATCTTCATTTGTTCTGTGAAAATGAAGAATTTGAATGGGTATTGGATGACATGGGGGTGAGTAAATAATGACAGAATTTGTATTTTGAGGTGAACCAATTCATATTTCTGGTTTACAGATTGCCGTTAATTAAACATGTGGCTTGCAGTATGTATTAATAAACAGTCTGAATTCACCGTCAAAATGAAAACCATTGCGGAAACCAATGTCAGTTTTAATGAAAGACCAACCAGTTATTTTATTTTATTTTTTTGATTTTCACTTGTCAAACATCATGTAGATTTTATCCACATTCTGCCACACACTGTACATGTAATAATTATATTTTATGGAGCTGTGTAAAATTCTGACGTCAGTTTGTAAGCACGTTTTCCATGGTTTCCCTCTAGTATTTTCAGCTTTTTGGGGGGAATAACAGTTTATAATTTATGGGTAAATGATGCCATGCGGTCTACGTTGATTCAAGAGGCTTCACATTTTGTTCTACAACATTAAATACTCACAATCATATGTCAGTTTGTGATTTATAATGCCCTTGTTTTTTTCTAGCGAGTCGCTAAATTGCAGTTTACTAGTTTAATTACAATGAGGTAAACCACTGTATGATTTCCACAGGCATTTCAAGAGGAATGTGCTTCTTCTGGACTAAAAGGCTATCCTTCACTTTTAGCACTTCCAAGAGTGGTCAGTGCTGAGATCAATGCTTTTATACTAGCAGGTACTGAAAACGACTGCTAATAGTAATTAAATAATGTAAATATCAGTCAAATCCATCAAGCAGCCATTCAAAAGCATGCTGTGGCAATAAATAAAGGCTTAGCTAATTGCATGAGTTATATGCGTGTCAAGATTTCTGGGACACGAGACAAAATGGCAAACATACACTGCTTTGTGTCAAGCTTGTGGGAAACTTTTCTGACTGTAAATATCATCAGGAATACATATTGTTCTGGGGAATAAAACCAAGAAAATTCCAAATCCATAACATTTTATAAGAAATGACTTGGGTTTTGAACTACGGCAACAAGGATCTGGTTTCAATCTTCACTGATTGACAAGAGAAAATCAATGTGAGATATTATCTTGAGACACAAGAAACCAATTGCAAAAGCCTGCAGGGTAAAAAGAAGGTCAATCTGTTGTGAAGAGTCCCTGAAGAATAGCTTCTCCTGTGTATTTATCTTCGATAACATTATCTGGCATTTTTATCAAACTTCTCCTTTAATGACATCCTAAGGTTTAGGAAACTATTTTATCCATTTTCAAAACAGCCTTTTGGGGGCCTGAAAAGGCAAACTTTTAAAGGTTCATGAAATCCTCGAGTAATTTTTTTTGAGATTTTAACAGATTTGTGTGTGTTGAGCATCAGTTAAGACAATGTTACCACCTGTTAGATTAAATTGTTGGGAAAACTAGATAATTTGAAGCTTTTGTCAGCTAATTTCAGCTTCCGGGTTTAAAATGATTTTTGGGGCAGGATCAAAATCGAAGACGTAGCGCAAAACTGCAAGTGCAAGATGACGCATTGTTTTCTCATTATTATTCATAGCTGAGTTTTCTTATCCTATTAGAAGAGCCTGCTTCTTAATTATTCATGACTGCACATGCTTTCGGAAGGCAAGGCAGACCTGTCAAGCTGTGATACACGGACCCACACCACGCAGTATTTAGCTGTTCATGAAGGCTCGTATGTGTTTGTTTCCATGATCCACGGGGTTTGTTGCATGTTTTTCCCCGCGATGTCAGGGCTGATACAACAAAGCTGTTTGTGTCCAGCAAGCATTTTTGTAGAGAGAGCTGTACGAGAATTGGAGAATGGCAGATGTTGTTCGTTCACATTTAGACACATCACCGTGCTGCTGTGTTTGCCTAAATCCTCTAGATTAACCAACAGGGCTATTGGTTAAAATAGGGCAAAAGACCTGCTGCACTGAATCTGCATTCAGACCCAGGGATTGACAGAAAATTCCTCATTTACAGTGTTTATATGAACATGATTATCTTTATAATGATATAAATTGTGGTTATCTGTATATGAAATTACGAATAACAAATGGAGCAGGCCATTAAATTACTGTTTATTTCTTTGCATTTTAACTTTGTAAACTATAAAATCATGCGTCTTCTCATGGTTTGTGTCTCATTTTGTGAGCTGACTGACAACAGTTGTTTGCTCCCCTCCTTCTCCCCTGCTGGCCACGCCCACTCCTGCCCTTTGCTCGCGGAGCTCCACGCCCATTATGATGCATCTTTTGAAAAAATTCTGAGGCAGACCTGAACCGAAAGTGGGTTGTGGCATGACCCTTTAAAAGTGCAAGTTTTTGAAAAAATAACCAATTTCATCACAGTGTAAACTACAAAAAAATGTGAATTTCTTTAAACAGTGATGTTATGTGCATGAGCGAATAATTGATAAAGAATATCGCATAATCATACTACAGGTATAGGCACAGACGTGTAGTGTTGCTTTGCAAAATAACATCTATAACACAACATATCCAAGTCATCTTTACATACCTGTTCTAATATAAGTCTTTTTTATAAAAATGCTAAATAAAAAGGAATAATTTTCCATTTTTCACAAAAGTAGATATTTTAAAAAATGTTAGAAACCTGAAACCATTGACTTCCATAGGTTTGGAACCACCTGAGAGTGAGTAAATAGTGAGTAAACTCATCTTTGGGTGAACTATGGCTTTACATTGCTTTAAAATGAGACCCTTAAAGGTATAGTTCACAGGTGTCACATCTCTGCACAGTTTAGCTTTATCCCAAATTAAGCACACCTGATCAAACTAATTAAGACCTTCAGGCTTAGAACTAAACTGCGGCCCTACTGAGTTTGACCTTCCTGGAGTTTAAGCAAAAATGAAAATTCTGTCATCATTTGCTTATCTTTTACTCGTCACATACCTGTTTGAGCTTTTCTGCTGAACACAAAAGAAGATATTTTGAAGAATGTTGAAAAGTAACCATTGACTACCATAGTATTTGTTTTTCCTACTATTTATTTCAATAGATAACCAGTTTACGATAACATTCTTCAAAATATTTTCTTTTGTGTTCAACTGAAAAAAGAAACTAATACAGGTTTGGAACCACTTACGGGTGAGTAATTTGTGAGTGAATTTTTTTTTTTATGGATGAACTATCCCTTTAATACATTGTTCTAAAATGCGACCCTTAAAGGTATAGTTCAACCAAAAATAAAAATCTTGCCATCATTTGCTCACTTTTTACCTGTCACACACCTGTATGTCAATGGATTTTCAGATTATAACATTTTTCAAACTATTTTCTTTTGTGTTCAACTGAAATAAGAAACTGATTTGAAGAAAAGTGACAGATTTGGAACCACCTGAGGGTGAGTAAACCCTCAGTTTTGGGTGAACTATCCCTTTAATACATTGTTCTAAAATAAGACCCTTAATGGTACAGTCCAATTTAAAATTAAAAATTTAAATCATTGTTTACTCGCCTTTTACTTGTCATACACCTGTTTATATGACAAGCTTAAAGAAGGTAATATTTTGAAAAATGTTGAAAACCAGTAACCATTGACTACCATAGTATTTGTTGTTCCTACTACGGGTGTCAATGGATATCCAGTTTATAACATTCGTCAAAATATTTTCTTTTGTGTTCAACTGAAAACTCTTGGAACCACTTACGGGTGAGTAATTTGTGAGTAAATGTTTATTTGTGGGTGAACCATCTCTTACCCAGGTTGCAGGCCTGACTGGTCAGTGCATAAAGCTGTTGCTGATAGGCCCATTCCTCATCGTTTGGTGCAGATATGACAAACAACCTGCGTCTCCAGCGGAATCTAAAATCAAGCAGAGCAAAATATTTAGATTACTATAAATTGTTTGCAATGGATGCATTCAAAACTATTAAATATTTGATTCCAATATAAAATGTTGGTAATGACTTGACAAGTAGATAGAAATTAAGTATGTTACCTAACAGATAAAGAAGTATTTCGATGTAAAAAGTTTATTAACTACCTGGAAAGGAAGTTCTCCAATGATCTGGGCTTGTCTTCTTTTTTGCACGTCACCCCATCCCTCTTCTGTTGCTCCATCTCTCTGATACGTGATGAAAACGTGTCGATGTAGTCGAACACAGCCTTCATTGCAATTGGCACTTCATAGTATTGCTGGAAATAATAAGAGATGCAGAACTTAATGAAATATTACAGCACCACAGAGGGTTATAAACCAAATAACTTTACAAGTAAGGGGATTTTCTCAATAGGTTTTGAGCAGCCAAGAATGTCTAGCCTAAAATTATGTGTCAAATCGACAGCGCTGTGTAGAATTCTTGGCATTTTTTCAGCAAACCACAACAAATATGTGGTTTAGGCTAGAACGCAATGCAGAACGCAACGTCCAGTTTCAATTGATTTCTGGCTTTGGCTATTGTATTATTCTTATTATTCTATTCTATTCAATTTTCATGTGTATTATTTATTTTATTTATTATATATAAATTTGATATAATTTTATTGTATGATGTTAATTTAGCTTGAATGTCACATTGCTATGAATTTTACTGATTATAGACTTTCAATAATATCAAATCTAGCTCAGGAATTCATAAAGGCTCTGAATACAAATATTTTTGTAATGGTCTCAAAACAAAGAGAGAGGTCCTGTTCATACCAAGACCAACAATTTTAACCGTCGTTTATTTTAAGAGCGCAGCTTAAATTGATTGAGATCTTAAAACAAAAATAATTTTGAGAGGTTATTGTTTATTTTATTTTTAGTGGGGAAAAAAGCTATGAAAGTGAGTTAAAGATATTTTTTTTGCCATTATTGTTAGTTGTGGTTTGGACTGTGCACTGAAAAAAAGATTCTTTGGATTTACAAAATTCTTTTAAGGTAAGAGATTGCAAACAATTTATATGGACTGAATTTAAACGAACTAAATAAATGTAGTAATGTTCAACTTAATTTGTTGTTTAAGTTCAGCCAATATAAATTATAAATTGCAACCACCTACCTTAAAAAAAATTAAGCAAATCCATTGAATCATTATACAGTGTGCTATATTTAAAATGATTTTTAGAAATATATCTTTATCACACAGAATACCTTGGTTTTAAACACCTCACCACTCCAAATTTATGTATTTACCTCATGACGTTGCTTTAAAACTGCTTTTCAAATCATAAGAAGAAATTTTCACACTGCAAAAAAATGCTTTTCTTACTTCTATTTTGTCTTTTTTTCTAGTCCAAATATCTAAAAATTATTACATCAAGAGGCATTTTCTAGACGAGCAAAAAAACTTTCTTGTTTTCAGAAATAATATGCCAAATTATATTTTTATATAATATTTTTCCTTAAAACGAGAAAAATAACCTAGTTTTTCCTTTTGACATAATATTTTGCTTACCCCACTGGCAAATTATTTTGCTTGTTTTAGGGAAAAACTCACTTAATTTTGACCTTTTATTTCTTTAAACAAAACAATATTTTTCAATTTTCTAGAAAATGCTTCGTTATTTAGGAAGTTTTAGATATTTGGACTAGAAACAAGACAAAAAAATTCTAGTTAAAAAAAACATTTTTTTGTGCAGTGCACTTGATAGTGAAATATACAGTATGCTATTACTGTTTTTAACAATGTGCCACATATACAGTGCTCCGCATATATAAGTACACCCCTCACAAATCTATCTTTTAAATCTCATATTTTTACTAGGAAGTTATACAATATTATATTTGTGCATATATATTAGATTAGTCAGTACTGAAGCCAAATCTGGAGCTATTAATATTATAATAATATTAATATTAATAATAATAATTCCTTACATTTATATAGCGCTTTTCTGGGCACTCAAAGCGCTTTACACAATGAGGGGATCTCCTCATCCACCACCAGTGTGCAGCATCCACCTGGATGACGCGACGGCAGCCATTTTGCGCCAGACCGCACACCACACACCAGCTGATTGGTGGAGAGGAGACAGTGATGAAGCCAATTGGAATATGGGGATGGTTAGGAGGCCATGATGGACAGAGGCCAGTGGGCCAGGGGTTAAACCCCTATTCTAGACATCCTGGGATTTTTAACGACCACAAAGAGTCGGGACCTCGGTTTAACGTCTCATCCGAAAGACAGCGCTCACTGAGCAGTATAGCGTCCCCGTCACTATACTGGGGCATTAGGACCCACACAGACCGCAGGTAGGGCGCCCCCTGCTGGCCTCACTAACACCATTTCCGGCAGCAACCTAGCTTTCCCATGTGGTCTCCCATCCAGGTACTGACCGGGCGCAGCCCTGCTTAGCTTAAGTGGGCGACCATGTGAGAGTTGCAGAGAGCTAGCTGCCGGCTAGAGAATTATTAATAATTTAGTTTAGAGAATATTATTAATAATTTAGTTGTTTTCTTTAGTTGTTTTATTTTGTAGGTTGTCATTTTTCAAAATATTTTGCTTGAATTAAATTGTATTATCTTTCAATTTCTAAATATGTTTGGTGACTAAAATATTATTTTAATAAATATATCTGTTTATTAAATCTGTTTTGTTTAAATGCACCAAAATACATTGCCTATATTCACTGAGAAATAGATAAAAATACTCATTTTCAAAATGGGGTGTACTCAATTATGCTGAGCACTGTATTTCTGTCAACATATACAGTTGAAGTAAATATTATTAACAATCCTGTGATTTTTTTTTCCTTTTTTAAAATATTTCCCAAATTAAGTTTAACAGAGCAAGGAATTTTTTATAGTATTTCCTATAATATTTTATCTTCTGGAGTAAGTTTTATTCGTTTTATTTTGGCAAGAATAAAAGCAGTTTTTAATTTTTAAAAACCATTTTGGGTCAAAACTATTAGCCCCCTTAAGCTATATTTTTTTCTTTATTTTTTTTGTTGTCAACAGGAAAAAACATTGTTAAACAATGACTTGCCTAATTGCCCTAACTTATCTAGTTAGCCTTACTAATCTAGTTAAGCCACTTTAATAATTGCACTTTAAGCTGAATACTAGTGTCTTGAAAAATATCTAGTCAAATATTATTTACTGTCATCATGGCAAAGCTAAAATAAATCAGTTATTAGAAATGAGTTATTAAAACTATTACGTTAAGAAATGTGTTGAAAAATTCTTCTCTCCGTTAAACAGAAATTGGGAAAGAAATATACAGTGGGCGAATAATTCTGACTTCAACTGTATATAATTGTACTATAGTTAGTTAGTACATGCTACATGCCAAGAATTAATTCAGTATTTGTGGGTGTCTGACTGGCAGCGGCTCTGAGGATTTTCAATAGATTAGACTCTCTATCCGCCTCCTGACTGCACAGTGGCTTCTTTGTTTATTGCAGCTGTCTGTAAACAGAAGTCTGCTTTGCGCTGGCACACCTCACGCACCGCTGAAAAGCACCGTGTATAAGAAGCCAGTTTTATTGCTAGTGTTACCTTCGCCTTCATGTCCAGATCTGTGAGGACCACGTAGAAATCGTTGTAGGTCATTCCGTACTCTTTCCTCAGCTCCATGATGAGATCCTGGTTCTCCAAATCCTCCTGTCTCAGACCTTTCATGGGCTTGTCCTTCTCTGCAAAGACGCCACACAAAAAATCCTGATCAACCAACCAAACAGAGAGATAAATACAGCAGATGGCTCCGCAGTCTGCTGGTTTTGTTTTGACTGCAGTTCAAAGAGCCATGCGTGTCTTTCATAACGTACAGCGTGACCTCTCTGCTGAGGTCAGAGCCAGTCAAACTCTATAGTAAGAGTACAGTACATTCTGCTGTTTGTCTGGATGGATAAAAAAAGTCAGCAGACATGGAGTGTTTTAATGAAGTGCTGCAGGGCCTTGCGGATGTGTTTATTCTGGGAGCATGGCTTCCTTTGCTCTACAAGAGACAGATAAAAACAGAGCAACTCATGTGAAAGACCCTCTCTTTGCTCAGTGGAAACTCTGCGGGTGCACGAGACAGCATGGGAGGACACAGCCAACCCAAAGTATTTGTTTTCCTTTCCGCAAAATTCAAAGAATTTCTCACTCTGATTTCCAGTGGACAACAAAACAGACGGTTTGAGAGACTTTCAGCACAGGAGGTGAATTACAGATAAAAATTACCAAAAAAAAAAAACATGCTATTTTATTTATTGATCCTTTATTTTTTTAGGAATTTCCCATTGAGATTTGCATCTCTTCTACCAGGGTGTCTGGGCCAAAACGGCAGTACAAAAAGTTTCAGATACAAAAGACACACATAAAATATCACAAATTAAAATTTACACTAAGACTTCAAAATATTTTAATAATATTTAGAAATGCATTTGTTTCTAACATGATAACACTTTGCATTTAATTTCATAATGTAGGGCCAAAGGAGGAAAACGCTGTTTAACCAAACTCCATACGTACTCTAGCAACAGTTAAATGTAATTTATAAGAATTTTGTGTACTATAACTACAACTATAACATGATAAAAGGTTACAAATATATGATGGCAATTTACCCACACTGTAAAATGTCCAACTTACAAATTGTTAAATCAGTTTAATATTGTAAGTTAGGTGGAATATTTTTGAGCTCAAGAGTTAAATTTACTCATAAAAATCATTTAACTGCATGTTTGGAATTGTTTGTCCAAAGAAAGTAAAAAATCTGTTAGAACTTAAAATTTTGATTTCTTCATTGAGCATTTATTTATTCATTCATTCATTCATTCATTTTCTTGTCGGCCTAGTCCCTTCATTAATCGGGGTCGCCACAGCGGAATGAACCACCAACTTATCCAGCACGTTTTTACGCAGCGGATGCCCTTCCAGCCGCAACCCATCACTGGGAAGCATTCACATACACACACACACTCATACACTACAGACAATTTAGCCTGCCCAATTCACCTGTAACGCATGTCTTTGGACTGTGGGGGAAACCAGAGCACCTGGAGGAAACCCCAACTGAGGCCAACTGAGCCGAGGTTCGAACCAGCGACCTAGTGACCTTCTTGCTGTGAGGCGACAGCACTACCTACTGCGCCACTGCTTCGCCCATTTAAGCATTTACCATAGTAAAAAAATGAAAGCTGAGTTAACTTGAAATTTTTAAGCAACCGGCTTAAAGTTTATTAAGCTTCAGTGGTTGAAGTTGTGCCAAATTATTCCATAAAGTATACTTGACTTAAAACAGCCTTTTCAGTCAACTTAAAAAAACTATTTGGCACAAACTTAACTACTGAAGCTTAAACTCGAAATTTCTTTGCAACCGGTTGCTTTAAAAAATCAAGTTAACTCAGTTTTTTATTTTTACAATACTTTTGCAATAATGCCCTAGCGGTGAATAGAATAATATGCATTTTATCCAGCTGTCCAGCTTTATTAATAACGGCAGGTTTGCATGCATATAAATTACATCTCCATAATCTATCACTAAAAGGAAACAGCTTTGGATAATTCTTTTTCTTGCTTCAAAAGGATGGCACTTCTTAATACGACAAACAAAACCAAAGTTAGGCCTGAGCTTCTTTACAAGATTTTCAAAATGAATATCCAACCGTTTATCAAGCCACATGCCCAAATATTTAAAAGTGCTTACTCTTTCAATACATTCTTCCTCCAGGGTTAAGATTGGTGAAACTTTCATTTTTGTACGACTGCAATTAAGGTGTATTTTTGTATATTTGGTCGATGATGCAAAACATTCACCCACGTTCAACTACTTCCAGAGGAAATCCAAGATAAATACAGTTGGATTACTGTTCTATTGTACAGTATTTGCTCATGGGTATGAATTTGTAATGATAACCTTTTTTTTATACATTACAGGATTACATTTAGTTGTTGGATTGTGTTTTCCTTGCAATCTTGTGTGTTCTTACACAGAAAATGTATTTAGTGACTTTACAATAATAAATGAACAGTTCAGAAAAATGCAAGAACCTCTAGTGTCATCTGAATTTTTCTTTTAAAAAGAACTTTTATCCAGCTCATGTGTGTAGGTTCAGTAAAATAATTTTATGGCATAGAATAAGCCCTATTTGTGGTCTTAAAAGTGAAATAACTTAACAGAAACAAGTGAGGCTGAAAAAAATATTCATTTTCGATGGAAATTTCAGACGGCACTTTTTGCAGGTTTCTCAAATAATAAACTTCTTCATGAGATCTCTAATATCACTTAAGTGATGTCGAAACATCAATACTTTACAACAGTTAAAGCGATAGTTTATTTTAAAAATTGCTATTTACTCTATATTTACTTATCCTCAGGTGGATCCAAACCCTTATGAGTTTCCTTCTTTTGTTGAACATAAAATAACATATTTTTGACCTGTAACCATTGAATTCCATAGTAGGAAAAACAAATACTATGTAGATCAATGGTTACAGATTTCCAACATTTTTACTTTACATTTACTTTTGTGTTTAACAGATGAAAATAACTAATAAAAGTCTGAAAGAAGTAATGGGTGAGTACGTGGCAGAATTGTAATTTTGGCTGAAGTATCCCTTTATTTTTGTCTAAATTTCTAAAAACTCCACATCTTTTACAAAATTATTATTTGATGGCAAAATGTCACCTTGGAATTTTAAGTTCTATCTGTGTTCTGAATGATTTTGAAATGTTGAGCTTCAAAGTTTTTGCATTCCATAGCCAACAGTATGTGTGTAAAATTTGTTTTTTAAATAAAAAGTCTTAAAATGTAAACAACTTAGAAAAAAACATCACATAATTTAAATAAGTTGTCATTTAATAAGAATATGTATGCAATAACTACATTTTGACAAAAATGTCATAGAACCTTATAATTCTAGAGTAACGAATTTAGATTTTTTAGCCTTCTTGCATTTTTCTCAAAGACCAGCTCTCATTCTGCATGTAAAATGGTACAAATCTTTTGTGAAATACAGGTATGTAAATTTGATTAAATACTGTTTGTATTATTGTTATGTAATTAAAAAAGTTTTAATGGATAAAATCATTATTACACTGTAGATCATTTTGTTTCATGAAAAGCACAATTTTAGGCAGTGTTGTGTCAGACTTGATTGTATTCATAAAGACACACTTTAAAGTTGTAAAATTTAGTTAAACAAGTATAAATGTAAACAAAAATGTGTGTTAAAATGATTCAATTACATACTGTGTTAGCAACTCATTGGAAATAAAAAAATTAAAATTATATACCTTACTTTCACTACACAATCCATGCAATATTTTATAAAGTACATCATAAAGTATAAATAAACTAACACTTGCTGCAAAAAAAAAGTTGTATGTACAATCCACAAGCTTATTTCACAGCATCAAAACATCAGAGCAGATCAGAAAAGGCTTATATACTCTGCCCATAGATCAAAAATGACTTTAAATGCCAGATGTGATAAGCAATATGTCTCCATCATCTACTTGTGATCTGATCAACCAAAACACATCTTAAAACCAGGTGCAAACAAAGCCTAAGTTCAGCCAAATAGCTATTTCTTCTGCATAACATGTGGTTTTCTTGAAATAACCTCTATATTTATCTCTCAAAGCAAGAACAAACACTAAGAATGCTTAACGCACAATATATAATCAACACACGGGAATCTTAATATAAAATATAAACAAACAGAAAAGTAAATAACTCTGATAAAACGGAATCCCCCTTACATCACACGCATTATAAACAGAAAATGAGAGATTTAGTTTAGCCTCAGAAGCAATCCTAATTATATATGCCTACCATAGCCACAGCATGGGACCTTTAATTGTGGTTTAGGAACCGCTGATCATACAGTCAGTCATGTTTCCTTTTCTAGTACCTTCAATGCTGCACTGGAAACAGTCACAGTGAGCTGGCAGGCTATAAATGCTCAGAACGTGCCAGACTGATATATGCCCTTCACAGAGAGCCCTATGTGTTCCTTTAGATTCCTTCAAGGGCGAGATGTTTATATGAGAACTAGTTTTTGATTCCATTTTTCGACCCCGTGAGCAGTGAAAGGGACCCCTCACAAACAACTATGTGACGCAGACCAGACTGATGAGTATATGGAACAAAAGTCAAAGCAGTGACTCATTCAGAGGCAGTCTGGATGAAGATGATGTCATGGTTAACCCCTTTCTCAGCATTTTGTGTTAATGCTTGCAGACTAATATTTTCCCATTCAAATCTGGAATATACCATCAAACTTCCTGGGAAAAATGGACATTGATGGAACTGAGGAAAAAACACTTTGGCTCTTTGTTTAGGACATTCTTGTAAGATTAAATACAATGTAAAATAAAGATATGGCAACAAATGTTTTACAGCACTTTGCCACACACTTTAAAAAAATTGCTTTAAAAATAAATTTTCACAAAACTTTTTGTTAATTGAACTTATTTAAATTTTAATCAGTTAACACTGTTAACACAAGTCACACTGTAAAAAAATATATGATCAATTGGTCCTAACAGTACATGCTTTTAGTTGATTGTAACTTATTAAACTGAGGTAATCATGTTCTGACTTAATTTTTTAAGTTACGCAAGCTGTTTTAGGTCAGTTTAACATAATATAAGTTCAATGGACTCATAAGGTTAATTTGATTCAGCTTGAAACATAAGGCAACTAAGATTTTTTACAGTGCTGATTTTGATTAATTTATTTTTAGCTATATAAAGTTTGTTATATTAGTAAGTCTGATTGATGTACTGTAAGTTGAACTGACTAGAAATGTTATTTGATTCAACTGAAAAATAAGCAAGAAGAAGTGAAAACTTTTTACAGTGTAACACATGGAGTTTTCTTTCACCCTGATGCTTCAAAATTAAATGATTAAATCTGATTAAATAAACAAACTAAATAATAATTTGTATAGACATATAAAAAAGACAATTTTGAAGAAATCAACCTTCAAAAAAGACAATTAAAATTATAGTCATTCTTTTAATAATGTACTTTTTTCAAGTAATATACAAGAGTTTAATTGCAAGTCCAATGGAATGTTCAATTAAATTCTGAATGTCACACAACACTTTTGACAACATGCACTGTAGCATTCAAAGCAAGATTTTAGTAATAACCTGGTGTTATTTATCATTTGAGGGAGTGAGTGTTTGAATTTATTCCAACAATACTCATGACTTCAAGCCATGGGCTTCCCTGCTTTTTGGAACAGCGCATCAAAAATGTACAATGAAGAAATTGTAAGAGTAATGTATGCTTAATGTACACGGCACACCCTTCAAAACCGGCTCATCTGCCAAGAACTGACTGCTGTAGCTGAGCTAAAACTCTCCAGTCAGAATATCAGCTACAAAGGAAACAGACTTTTTCCCATGTCTTGGCTAATGAACTAGAGAAAATAGCGTGCCATGGCGGTCTCTGCTCCCACTCTTTCATTTGATTCATCCAGCAGCATTCCATGACACTTGAACAAGCACCATTCACTCCATTCCCAGACCAAGTTCCTTTGCTCTGTGTCATATGAGGTCATAATCTGGAAAAGTGCTTCCCTCACTTGCAAGTGATTGCTAACTGTTGAATAAAAGGCACTTTTTGTTTGACATGCGAAAGAAGAATGTCTTTTGTTTATCATATCCATCTTCAGCCTAATAATTCTTAGCTCCATGTCACAACTAGTAAAGCTTTCAGAGAACAGGAAACAGTTGCTATTTTTTTTTGATTGTTGCAGGATTTTATGATGGGTGGCCTGAGTTCAGTTTGGCTCAGTGGGAATGGATGGAATGCTCTGACCGGAACTTCCATAACCTGTGTTTAAATGTCCATATGTCAACATGTGACATGGATTCTCAGCAGTGGCCGTTTAAGAATGAGGAAGCAAAACAATAGAAAAGATAACAGGAAAAACGTACACACTGAAACAAATCCAACCTGAAAAAAGATTAAATTGCTTGTTTTTTTTTTGTTTTTTTTGTTGATTTGGCAAAAATCTGTAAAATTATCTGTACAACTACATTTAACATGTTTACTTAACCCAAATCAACATTTTCTTTATTAAGTTAAAAAGATTAGTTTTGTGAGCAAAAAAAAAAAAAAAACTTCTGCCAACTTGTTACTTTGAGTTAAGCCAAAATTACAATTCTGCCACTTACTTACCCATTACTTCTTTCAGACCTTTATTAGTTATTTTTTCATCTGTTAAACACAAAAGTAAATGTAAAGTAAAAATGTTGGAAATCTGCAACCATTGACCTACATAGTATTTGTTTTTCCTACTATGGAATTCAATGGTTACAGGTCAAAAATATGTTATTTTATGTTCAACAAAAGAAGGAAAAACAAAATTGCAGTATTTCTAACCCTAACAACAACAACAAAATGAATAGTAACACCAATAATAACAATAATATCATTATTATTATTAACAACAACAAAATAAATGATTAATAATTTGTCATTTTTTTTCTTGTGAGAGGGGTGGGGGGTACATGACATTTTAATGAACTACAACTCCCATCATGCACCTTACACACACATCAGTTTCTGGTTCCTCCTGATTACAAACACACAGCTGGAAGCTCACGATGAACTGATTACTAGGACTATAAAGACACCTCATTCACACATACTCTTTGCTGAGTCTTGTTTTTCCCTGTGAAGCATTACAAAGTGGTTTTCCCTGTTTGTCCTGCCATGTATTAATCCTAGTCTTGCTTACCATTATTGTTGTTTTTCCCCCTGTCTTGATTCTAATTCTGCATCTAGTAAATGTTTTATTAAAATTTGTCTCTGTTTTGGTTTCTTTATATTTCAATTGAACTATGTGTGTTTGTTCTGATAATATATTATTTCTTAGTACCAATTTCTAAGAGTTTTTTTAGGTCAGTGCAACTGATGTTTTTAAAAGTTGAGTACAGAAGAAAAACCAAAAGGAAATGTTATGCACTTTAAAAATGCAGGGTTCCACACAATTTGATTGTCCCAACACAAATTGATTAAATTAACTTAACACTTTTAACAAATTTATGTGGATTGAAGATAAAAAATTAAGTTGTCCCAATGAAATCTCAAGAATTGTGTTGTTTCAGCTCAATTAAAATAAGTAGTTTGAACAAGCAAAAAATATCTATTTCTTGAGTGTTTTTTTTTGTTTTGTTTACTCAGACATTCCAGTTCTGCAGACAAAAAAAATATTCAGTAAGCACTTAAAACGTTTTGTTACAGAGTAGTTCACCTCTCCAGAAAGCTAATAATCTTATGTTAACCCAACTAAATAAATTTTGTCTTACTGACAAACAATTTTATGTCAGCCAAAACTTGAGTGAACAAGAAAAAGCAAAAGGAAACAAGTATAATAGTATTTTTTTTTTGTACTGGCTTGATTTTTTACAGTGCAGACAGGCATGAAAACGCATTCTTCTATCATTCTTTAAGTTATTTTGATTAAAATGGTGGTTTGAATAATACGTATTTGTATTTCATATAAAAGAGCATGCGACTTTATTGTTTAAAGAGTGACTTACCAAGCTGGTAATGATCAATTTTCATGGTGCTATTCCTAAATGTGCCAAAGATGGTGATGATGGTTACTTTCCTGATTGCCATTTCACACACGTGCTCCAAGTATTCATCCCTCTGCTGAATATACATGCTGTTCTCCTCTGTTGGAGAGGTGATCAACTAAAATAAAGATTTTGAAAGTATGTATTTTTAAAAGAATAACAACAAAATCCACATTTTAATTAATACTATTACCAAGACTACTCACAATTAATCTCCTCCTGCTTTCAAAATAGTCCAAAAAGGTTGCCAGAGTTCCTTTAGGTGGCGGTGGCGGTGGTGGTCTTTTTGTTGGTTTCTGATAATCTTCTTTCTCAAGAATCTTTGGAACTTTCTTTCCATTTTTCTTACCACCCTTTCCATCTTTTCCTCTCCTCTCTGCTTTGTCCTTTTTAGACAGCTTATCTGTCTTGTCCTTTTTCTTCTTTTTATCTGTTTTGCCCTTGCCTCTTTTGGTGGGCACGATTTCTTCCTCTTTTTCTTCAGGATAGGCATCGGTAGGCACACCTACGTCATATTTCTCCTCATACGCGTTGCTAATATCTTTATCGCCATTCTTTTTCTTTGTAGGCCTTACTTTAGTTGGCTTGTGTTGTGTTGGTATAGTGTTGGTATGTCTATGGTTGTATTCTTTTTTAGAAGTGTGGTTGTCTCTGTATCTTGCTGAGTCAGTTGGGGGTGAGGTGGTCTGGTATCTGTCCCTACGATTGTAATAGTAAGGTTCGGCAGTGGTCTTGTGGGCTGGGATCCATTGAGGGGTAGTATTAGCTCTGGTAGTCCTTGGAGTGGTGGTGGTCCGTGTTGTTGTTGTGGTTGGCCGCGTTGTTGTTGTTGTCGTTGTTGTTGTGGTGGTGGTAGATCGGGTTGTAGTTGGGGGACGTGTTGTGGTGGTAGTAGTTGCTTTGGTAGTGGTGGTGGTAGTTGTTGGTCTTGTTGGAGCTGGAGTGGTAGTTGTTGTTGGTCTTCGAATGGGTTTCCGAATCTCTTTTCTCCTTTCTGTTGGTGGGTCCACCTGGGAATCAGTGGTCAGGACACCCTCAACCACCTGACCCTCCACCCCAGCCCCTTTACACTTCTGCACAAAGCCTTTCTGCCGTACTTTTTCCATTTTGCGCATAGGTGACTGGTCGATAACTTCATACATTGCTTCCAGTCGGACCGGGTATGGATACCGTTCCTCCACCTGAAGCGTCTTCTTAAGAAGAACCATCCCAAACTTTCCTTTCTCTAATTTTAGAAAGGTCATGAGCCTGGGAATGAGAGCAGTATCTAATGGCTCTTCCATCACTTTCCCTTCATTAGTAATGCGTCTGATTTTCCCACCCAACTCTCCTTCCTGATGGAACATGACAATCTGGTGCACGTGCCGCTCAGCCAACTCACAGTAAACCTCAGGTTTAAGCAGACTCATCATCAATCTGTAGTAGCCATCAGAGTCGTGAGGTGCGGAAATAACCAGTAGGCGGTTTTTCCCTGCAAATGACGCCAGTAGGTTTGGAGAACCAGCACTGCTTGGCATGCGGGACACTCTGGCCCTGGCTCCAGGTGTTCCATCATCTTGCTGGATTGGATTCCTTGTCCCACCCTGTGCTGGTCTCCTTTGTGCCAAGACCTTTCTGGATTGGACATTCCTTCTAAATTGTACACCTTCGTCTCCCTGCATCTGTTGGCGTTTATCATTGATCCATGTAGAAGAAGCACGTGTTTTAATGATCTGACCCTGTCGGGATTTGTTTTGTCTTGCTCGTCGTACGGACATCAGTCTGAGTTTAGCCTGTTTATCGGTCGGGCTGCTTTCTGACACGTAAACAGCCCATGTCAACAGACACAAAACACCGAAACCAAGCATATACCGTGCCCTCATGTTTGAACAATTTAATATCACTCAAGTCAGCAGAGATACAATCCAATAAAGCGTCATAAGATCCGAATATTAAATGTGTGTATATATACAAGTTTAAAGCGTTTATTTCCTGATGATCAGTGCAAAAAAGGCAAAAGTTTCTTTAAAACATTTTTAGAAACTAATAGATAGTTTTTAACAAAGACAAATTCGGTCAATTTAAAAAGACCTTGGTTTACCTGTTGGTGCGTTTAGGAAACATGTCTTGAATAACCAGCGCGCAATCTGGCTTATTCGAAGCAGAGGGGCATTTATTGCTGCCCAGCGCCAGATTTTCTCATCTCATCGTGCATATATTGAAATGCATATAATCCTTGAATCACATGAACTGCAACGATAAGGTCCTTAGTCAGTCAGTCCAGAGAAGTTTGACGCGCGCAAGTTCAACACAACGCGCGCCGCCGAGTAAAATGAGGAAAAAGTCAGAAATACTTCCAAGAGTATGGAAAACTCTGTGTGCGGCTGCTTATCACTGGAAGCTTTCCCAGACATGACAGAAAGTAACAGCACAGCAGCCTCCGTATCCTCTGACGAGGGCACAGGACCAACCCATGCAGCTGAGGGGCGCCAGTGCGCGGAGATTCACTCCTGCGGTCAGACTGAGCCACAGTACATTGAACAGGTTTTTAATCGTCCAAATATGATTATACATATACAAAGACCCATTATACTGAGAGTTATGTTATACAACCTGTCTTGGTTAAAAAAAACCGTTAAAATAATGGTTAAAATACACTACAGCCAATTTTTATCCAGTTCACATGTCTTTGGACTGTGAGGAAAACTAGAGATAACCCCATACGACAGGGAGAACACACAAATTCTTTACTGAATCGTCACCTGGCACAGCTTAACTCAAACCAGTCACCTTCTTGCTGTAAGAGTCGACAGCAAATCACCATTTCACCCCTGAAACTATTCAGTAATTCATATGTATACCTATGCTGACATTAGGCTAGTTGCTATACTTGTATGCATCATTTTTCATTTTTGTTGTAGTTTTTTTTTATTATTGATACACTGACTACACATGTATTAACTACTGGCAACCCACATAAAATTGCATAAAAATGGTAACTGTGACAATCAGCAGAGTCATATTTCATGAAGAGAACAGAAAATAGTTTAAAATGTACATCTTTAAAAGATTAAGAGCATCTGCATATTTTACAATATTTCATGTTAACCCTATTTTACATTCACAATCTTTACTCAGTTATAGACTGGAGCCTGTTCAATGCAATTTTTTGTCACCACAACAATGCAATAAACCAATCTCCATGTTTATTGCACAAAGCAATGATCAGGAGCCAGAATGATTGTCCTATTTTGTATAATTATGTTCTATTGTCCTCTAATTTTTTGATACTGTACCTTTTTTTCTTCTTTTTGTCTTTCTGTTAACTTCTATTCATTGGATACCCCAGTTTAAAGAGACCTAAGGGGAATGTTGAATTGATATATGTCATTATATTGTTATTTCAGCCTGTATGCTTTAATAATAATAATAATAATAATAATAATAATATATATATATATATATATATATATATATATATATATATATATATATAAACAATGCTAGAAACCAGTCACAAAACTTTTTGAAAAGAAATGTTAACTAACCTGCTGCTTAATGTAATCCTGTGTATCAAACTGCTTAACTAAACAGTCTAAAAACCTACATGGACTTTAAAAAAGGAGCTGTGAATTATATTTACTAAGCACATGTTGGCTCTGTCTCTAAAAACAGATCATTTAATAGGATAATAGATGGGACTATAGTGGCTACATGGTGGCTCAGTGGTTAGTCACCTCCCAGCAAAATGGTCGCTGGTTCAAATCCCGACTGTGTCTTTGTGGAGTTTGCATGTTCTCCCTGTGTTCGAAATGGGTTTTCCTCCAGGTGCTTTGGTATCCCCCACAGTCCAAAGATTTGCACTTAAAGGTGAATTTAATCAACTAAATTGTCTGTAGTGTATGTGCGTAAATGAGTGTGTATGGATGTTTCCCAGTATTGGGTTGCAGAAACATACAGTATAAAAACATATGCTGGATAAGTTGGTGGTTCATTTCACTGTAGTGACCTCTGATGAATAAAGGGTCTAAGCTGAAGAAATTGACTAAAAGAATGAATAGCTGGGACTTGTATAATGTAATATTATGCTAATAACATTTATAAGGATGACACCATCTTACCCTAAAAATTATATTAGCAAAATATTCCTGTTAGCCTACATATTGCACAAGTTTACTAAACTCACAGATTCTTCTTTGCAGATCAACTGTTGTTACGTTATTATTCTATTTATCAAAGAGCAGGATCCCATATGTCTGTGTAGTAGGTCTAAAAGTGCATGCATTCCTTTCTATAGTCACTGCTATTTCCTAGGCTTCTCAGATTTGATAACATCTGAATGTGTGGAATGATCACATAGCTTGCTCCACATCTGGCTCTTTTTACTACAATTTTCTACTGCTTAAAATCTCAGTGTCTTTCTTACCTGTTACGTCTAGATTTTACCGTCTTAATAAATGCCTCAATGTGAGCAGGGCTTTTTAACGGACCACAATCCTCCATTCCCCTTCATGCACGCTTCCTGACACGTGTGATTCCTAATACAGTGCATGAGTCTGTACAGTAATTAAATCCATTTGTGTAAACAACTTCAAAAGATCATCACGTCATACAAACAAAGGCCTTTTAAATGATGATATTCTCACAAATGTGCAATTCATCTTTGAAAACATAACACTTTACATCTTTATGCCAGCATTAGATGTGTAATTACTAGGCCCAGATGGGATCTACAGATTTTCTACTAAGATTTGGGGCAAAATCTGTAATTGTGAGGGATGGCTTTGAGAATGAGCCAAGCAGAAATGATTGGATTTGGCATTATTAATGAACATGCAAGTGGTGGAGGACATGTGCAAGTTTTTAAATTATGGTTGGTGTAAATCATTGGATCATTTTGTTTACACAGACTGTGTGTGGGACTGTGTGCAGTACTTTAACATTGATCTATCAGAGCTGGGGCATAAATTAGAATATCTCTTGAGATTTATATATGATTTCTTTCTTCACAAACACTGGAAACATAAAGTAACTGAATGTCTTGCAACAAATAATCAAACCATAATCTAAATATAGCATGAAAATTGATATATGAACATTGAAAGCGTAAATGCATCCCAGATCCAGATCTTGAATTGATGTTACCTCAGTTCTACATAGCTGTAATTGTAAATTGCAGTAATGGTGTCCAGAAGCCACAGTCCCCTGTTATTAGGTTTTACAGAAGAGGAAGCTAGCTTAGTTTAAAATAGAATGGATAAAAGTCATTAAATTACCCCTCTGAAGAAGAGTGTATGTTAACGCTATATCATGTTATTCTTCATTCTGCGTTCCAAAAACAAACTGTGTCTGAGCATAGTGGAATTTTCATTGTCTACTACACAGAAATTTACATATACACCAATACATCAGGAGGCATAAAATGACTGACTTGTTTAATGGTTTCTTGTCGCCACCTATTGGTGTAATGACGTAATAGCTACAAGCCTCATTTGAATCGATATGGTTTTGACTGCAAACATTTATTCATTTTCTTTTTGGCTTAGTCCCTTTATTAACCTGGGGTCACCACAGTGGAATGAACTGCCAACTTATCCAGCATATGTTTTACACAGTGGATGCCCTTCCAGCTGCAACCCATCACTGGGAAACATGCCTACACACTCATACACTTTGCAGCCCTTGATTGCAAACATAAGTTTAAATCCCAACTATTGCAATTGCAGATTTTAATTTTATTTTTTTAAGATTTATAATCAGCTATCTGATTCGTCTACATTGGTCAATACATGCAGCTTGATTGACAGTTTCATACTGTGCATCAATGCAATATGTGCATACCTGTCAACATTGGGATGTGAAAATAAGGCATATGCCCACCATAACAAGGGATTCCCCCGAATCCCCTTTAAAAAAATCCCCAAATTACTATATATTGTCATTTGGAGCTGTTTCGTTGGAAAAAAAAGAAAAATAGTCAGTAATATGTTTTATTATTATTTACAAAAGAAATAATAAATATTATACATTAGCAGCAAATAAATTGGCAAATAGTTCAGCTTATTAAAATTAATTGCTATTATAATGAAATAGAATCAAATCTCATTAGCCGTTTCTTTACTCTATAACATACACATTCTGATTAAAGAGCAACGAATGAATGATTTATTTAGATTTTTTTTCGTTAGATTACATTAATAATAGAGATGTCACTTTAAAATGCACACATCTAACGTTATAATGAAAGCATTCGGCTGCTTTCCTAACTGTTTATGCTCAATTAAGATACAATTACTTATATTTAAAAAATACCCACCAACATCGACATCTTTAGATATTATTATTATTATTAATTATGTGTATCTGTTTAAACACGCACCCAAAACCCAGACTTTTGCTCCGCTTCAAATCGCGTGTAGGTACAGAACCCGTTTGAAAAACAGCGTCTATTCATCATTATGGAGCGCATCAGCTGACAGTCATGCAGCGGTATGACTGTTTTAAGGATTGCATATGAAGGAGCGACGGCACCTGTATAATGTAAAGTAGGGGAATCGCGCCGTTTTTATGTTTATTTCAAAGTGTTTTCGTGCCTGAACAAAACGGAAGCGCAGAACAGACTCGCATTTAAGAGCAAGGGGTGTCCCCTGGTGGTTCGGCAGAATGGGTTGCGTATAGGGAGGCACAAGTATTTAGGGTGCTTTCACACCTACACTTTTGTTTCGGAACGTATCTCGTTTGCCCAGTTAGCGCGGTTCGATTGGCATATGTGAACAGGGCAATCGCACTCTGTTCCGCGCCAAAGTAATCGCTCCGAGATCGCTTGAGTGAGGTGGTCTCGGCTCGATTGAAACGAACCCTGGAGCGGTTCGATTGCAGTGAG